TTACTGTTGTAATACAATTACTGTAAAATAAATATTGAGCTTTTATTAAAAAAGTGATTATACTGTACACAAAAAATTTTTTTTTTGAGTTGAGAACTGTCTTTTTCTGTGTGGAAGAGTTCCTGGTTATGCGTTCTAGAGCCCTTTTAATGAAGGTTGCTAATAATTTATGAACACCAAGTGAAAGCAACCAGATTTTATTTTTTTTAACTGGTTTGAGTTTGGATGTTTGAACACTACACAGAGAGTTGTAAAATCGGTTCTGTCACACCACTATCATGATGCGTGTAATGCTTAAGCATTATGGTTAAACGGTGGAAACTGTGTATTTACTGTAAATATGTTTCTCGTTCATTTATACACACTGAGGAACGAGTTGCAACTATTGTCTTTGTTAACTGACAGCATGCTACTCATGCAGTACATAAACATTACGTTGAAACTTATTCTGAATATTTCTTTTAAATTTGCTTCCCCATCACTGATATGTACTAACTTATTGTCTTCTGCTGTAGAACTGCCAGACTGCTCTCATGCTGGCCTCAGAGCAGGGCAGTCTAGAGATCGTGCAGGAGCTCATCCGGAGGGGAGCAAATGTCAACTTGGATGATATAGTGAGTAGCTCTTGAAAACCCGTGCAGCAGAGTGACACAACATGAGATATCCTAGCCTGAAATGTTATCATGCGGCAAAACATAACCTAGCACTAGGTTTTGGAACAGGATGATATGATTTTAACCAAGCAGTGACTGAGTCACACAGCAGTCCTGCGTCACTCTTTTACAAAAGGGTCAATGACAAACAAGTATGTCTTAGATGTTTAAAAGGAAAAATCTAGTTTGTTATTAAAATATCTATCTGTCTATCTATCTATCTATCTATCTATCTATCTATCTGTCTATCTGTCTGTCTGTCTGTCAGTCTGTCATCTCATGATTGTTTTGAATCTATAACTTTTATTTTGGTAGTTTTTAATGTCTTTATTATATCTGTAGTCCTTGTTGATATCTCTGTCTGCTTTGGTAGACTGCAGTTCTTCAGCCAGATGTATGATTTCATAGGTGTGGGTGGGACGTAGAATCGAAATAATTGGTACCCTGTACTGTCATTTTATAAATGACTAGATGACGAGGTTTACAGGCACAAACACTTGGAGCTTCTCACACCAGCAGATACATAGTATAGTATATAACCTTTCTGGTGACCGTTGAAGAACCTTCACTATGACCACCTGGTATGACCAGCTGGTATGATCTGAAACTCCACAAACAACATCCAAACACAAGATCTTTAGCTGTTCCTGGGATGATGATGATGTCCATGTAATTAAACAAGGGTGTTTTCTTCCCCCACTTGTCTCAGGATTGCTGGACAGCACTGATTTCAGCTGCTAAAGAGGGACACACTGAAGTGGTGAAGGAACTCCTGGAGAACAATGCCAATGTGGAGCATCGCGACATGGTAAGACACAGATTAAAGACATGAGCTGCCATACAGCAGGTAGTACGCTTAAATCAACAATTGTTCTTGAATTTATCATTGTAGATGATGGAAAGTTCTTCTTTACTGCCTTAAATTGTTTTAGGTTTTTAATTTTCAGTTTTGCAGTATGTTTATGTGTCAAAATCAAGGCTGTCAATCAATTAAACTCTAAAATATATTTTTTTTTTTAAATATATATTTCTATATATAATTATATATTTTAATATTTCTATATAAAAAATTAAAATAAAAAAATGCATTTATTAAATGTAAAAAATAATTAATCAATTAAACATAAAAACAAATAGGTGTTTTATTTGTTACTATTTGTGAAGTAAATCAATCGGCAACTTAATTAGATGATATACAAAAATATAAAATACATGACATAAATGAATAATTATATATGTATATATGTGTGTCTGTACATATGTATATGGTATTTTCTTGGTAAATTTTGATGAATCAATTGAATTTCACAATAGTATATATATATATATATATATGCGTGTATGTATGTATGTACAGTATGTATGTGTGTGTATATGTGTATATGTATATATGCATGTGTGTGTAATGTGTGTGTGTGTATGTATGTATGTGTGTGTGTGTGTGTGCGTGTGTGTGTGTGCGTGC